TTTTTGTAGGAAAACACTGAAGCGTCTGCGAAAGAAGGCAAAGAAATCCTTGCTGGCAGATTCGGTCGCCGAGCAGGCAACTTCCGCAAAGTCTCTGGAGGATGCCACGTCGGTCTCCCATGCCTCTCCCAGCGCCCCTGAGCGGAACCACCATCACATGGCCGCTGCGAATGCCGCGACCGGCGCCGATTCCGCCCAAGACGCTGTCATCGTTAAACGCCACAGACACAGTGAAGGGCCGACCGAACCGACCCAGCCGCCAGCCAAGAAGCATAGGCACAATGAGGGACTGACCGAACCAGCTCAGCCGCCGGATAAGAAGAAGAAGAAGCACAAGCACAATGAAAGGCTGACCGAAGCAGCTCAGCCGCCGGAGAAGAAGAAGCACAAGCACTCTTCCGGCAAACCGAAAATCTCCAAGGAACGTCTCGAAGCCGCTGGCATTGACGCGAAACAGTTTCGGTACATGCGCTTTGACAAGGCGCGTGCAAGTAACTGATGTCCGAACTGGAGATTTGTCTCTGACTTTGTAAATCATGTACTTACAGTAAATTTGTGGATTTTGCCATTGTCCGTTGCAAGAGGTTCTGAGTGTGTACAGGTGCTAACCGCTTCACCTCCATCCCCTAGAGCCAGTCCCTGGCGAGTGGAGGGAAGGGGCGGAGAGTCTAACCACTTATCGATATTTTTTCAACAGAATGTTAATTTCCATGCGATAATATGTTGGATTTTTCCCTGGGCAATATTTAAAACAGCTTGCGTGATCCTCCGGTGGAAAAATAATCGCTGCTTTTAGGAGTCAGTTTGCACGGTGAGAATTTAATGTGCTCGTTTTATGCGAATTACACGCGAACATTTGATACTTGCTTGAAGGGAATATTTTGACTTCGAAATCACTTTTTGTGTCAGTGGCCTCATTCTGCACAAAATTACTAGTTGCTATGCCATTGCATACGTAACTCTGGATTGGGCCCAGAGTTACAACGGGTCGAGTGGGTCCTGTAAAGTGGTCAGTGAGCGCCATTCTATTATAAATATTGAAGCGGAAGATTCGATCGCTAGAACAACACTTTTATAAGCCTGACGTTTTGACCTCCGTCGTGGATTCTTCATCAGAGACAGAAAATAGTAGCAGGAACGGGTGATACATACACAGGATGTTGCAGTATTTATAGGACACGGTCATTACTGCACACGTATGACGAATGACGATAATCGCCCTTTTGTGCGTGGATTCCTTGAGGACCGGCATACGGGCTATGACCTGCTGAGCTTGCATCGCGCGTGTTGGAATTGTACATGATGATTGCCCCGGTGTTGGCGTAAGACGACGCGGTGGCCTATGCGTTCCCAAGTGGCCACTTGCTTTGGCTAAATTGAGTTTCAGCACCGAATATGGATTGGGCAAGTCATTGCACTTGTTTATGGACTGGGACCCGTGAACCATCACTCAATTAATTCTCGAATTACACGATTATCACTCTTGCGATAATTTCGGCCTCATTAAATTTCAATGTGTGGCCGGGTCTCGTCGAATAAACTGCAACTTGAAAATTGGCATCATTACGCCGCACTGCTGCCGCGTGTCCGGCAATTCGCGCCTTGAGAAGTCTGCCAGTAGTTGCTTTGTCCGCAACTGCAGCAGATGATATTTGCGACTCCAGATGTTTCTTGTCGTGGCAGTGGGTCTCCCAATTTCATTATATGACACCTTATAGTTGCCTCCGGTTTGTGTGTAACTCCCACTCTAATTAGTGTGAAAAGGCGGCCGACGGCGTTCGACATATTTTTACGCACGGGATCGTTCGCCAAAATGCAGGGTCGGTGCGATTTGGTTAACCATTTCGTTTGCGCAAATGCTGTTGTCCTAACGACCGAATTTTCTTCTTCTCAATTACTTCCTGGGACTCGCATGTCCTCTTGTATTGGCAATCATACGCTTCTATTTGCTATTAAGAAAACATCATGGGGAACTCATAAAATTTCACGATGAAAGTGGATGAGATGGTACAATTTACAAGCAGTTTTATCAACCGGACAGAGAGGATGTTTCATGAACATAATTTTCACCGCTGCATATGGCGCGCATCTCACTTCGGTCACTTGTGTCCCCGCAGCCGTCCTTCACGGGAGCGTCTGCCGCCGTGTTATAGCCCATTGTTGGTTAAGGAGTCCCCACCGGAATCCAAACTGGTAGTAGTTGGAGGACAGAAAAAAGGTGAAACCTCGACCAACTTGAGCCAAAGGTCCGCGGGAGTGAGTTGGGTACCCGGTCGTCAACTGCAGGCGAACAGATGCTGGCAGTTAGGCGAAAAAACACCATAGTCGGGACAGCAGTCGGATGCGAACGGGTCGAGCCGGTTTTGGTACTGGCGAAGGACCATTGAGTAGCCACTGCGTAGTTGAGCCAGAGTACAGTAAGTA